TCATCATCAGGTATAATGAAATAGCGACATAAAATCTAACCAGAAAAAATTATAGACAGACATATAAGCAAACAGATATCAACAAGATACACAGTGCGGGCAACACAGGTACAGAGAGGGGTGATCGTCTCTGTGGGGTGGCCTTAAATAGACAGAGGGCGGAGGCAGCGAGAGGGAGGGGTTAGAGACAAAATTTACATGTCAATGAGTACAAAAAAAAAGTGAGCAGGCTTAGGGAGAGAAAGAAACACACTAAAATTTAATAACCTAGCAAAGTATCGAAATGTTATGTAAACGACACAGAGAGTCGGTCAACACACAATTAACGCATAGCCTGGTCGATTACGTATTTCAATGATTGCTAAGTTAGAATTTAAGTGTGAAAATTTCAAAGAAAGACAAAACATAAAAACAAGAGGGACGGAGACACACAGACAGAGCAGAACCTAAGAACGACAAAAAACGAGTGTAGACAGAAAAAATTACACTAAATAAACAGGCAGAGAGAGAGAATAAAAAACCCAGAGAGAGAGAAAAAAGGTAAACTTGGAACTTCCCCGTAGAAGTGGTTCAATCTTAACTTTGGAGCTTTCGTGACTGCAGGAATTATTCTTTGGTTCTTTCGGTAAAGTCACGTATAAAGAAATGTCGTATGCTATTATGCTATTTTTTGATTTATTATTTTTTCTTTATACGTGACTTTACCGAAAGAACCAAAGAATAATTCCTGCAGTCACGAAAGCTCCAAAGTTAAGATTTATCAATACATATTCTAAATATAGTTCGAGAAATATTATTAATCTAATACTCTAAACTGATTAACAATGAAATTGATGTAAAAATAAGTAAAACACTGGATGAAAATTACATGTAGATTTCTGGTTGTGATAGATGTGTAATAAAGGACTCTTTCACAGTGTCGATCTCCGTTGCCCTTTATTTGGGTTCGTGTAAATCTCGCTCCCACGGCGTCCTCGCTCAGGCCCGCGTCTCTTCCGTCAATCTCTCCGCAGCCACACTGCTGCTCCGCCCTGCAGCCACCCTGCTGCTCCGCTCTGCAGCTACACTGCTGCTCCGCTCCTCCTCGCTTACGGCCAGCCTTCCACAGCCCGCTAGCCCCCCTGCGCCCGGACACCGATGGCCGACGGTGCCGAGGTCTCCCAACACGTGGCGATCGCGCCACCCTCCCAATATTGCCCAGCGTGGCCTCCTCCCGTTTTCACTCCGTCTTCTCTCCCCGATCCCTTCCGGTTCTCTCCCTAAATCCTCTCCCCCACGTGACCCTAACTCCTCCCTCTCCTCATGTGACCCAGACTCCGCCCCCCTCAATCCTTGCTCGCATTACATGACCCCCCCCCCCTGATGAAAAACCCAGCCGTCCCTGGCTGCAACAGAACAAAATAAAGCGAGCAACTTTCAACCATCGGGCATCACCAGACAACGGAGATTATAACAACACGATAACAAAAAACAACAAGAACAAGAACAACAATCAACGAAAGGAAAGGGATTTGGAATGCGTGCGGGTCGCCAGCCCGTCCCGAACGGGCGGCGTCCCCCCCACAGACCGAGAACGCGACGGGGTTTTAAGAGCGACAAGATTAGAACCGCCCGCCGCTGTTGGAGGCCCGTCAACGCCAAGGTCCCGTTCCCCAGAGAGACCCGAGTCCGGGGTCTCCCGCAACCGCATCTGTGGTGGGGTTGGAGGGGCAGTGGGGTCAAGTGTCCCCGTCGCCGTGGTAGGCCCACCCAGAGCAGGATTCGCTGCATCCGCCTGTGTTACGGCCGGTTCGTCTGTAGAATGCACGACAGGCGCGCTTGCAGGGTCAACAGGCAAAGGCAGAGGTGCGTCGGATGCAACAGACACCGGCAAGGCAACATCAGGAGATGATGCATCCGTCCGCGGGGCCACGTAGGGTTTCAACCGAGACGTATGGACGTACCACCGCCGAGATCCGAACCGAACACGCGCGGACTGCGGGTTAGGAACCTCAATAAGCTTAACCGGCCCCTGCCATGGTTTGTGCAGCTTAGGGGAGGTCCCCGCCCGCACCTGCGGGCAGTGCAGCCAGGCCATGTCCCCCACTCGCCAGGGGCATTTCCCATTCAAGCGCTGAGCGCAACGTTCGTTCCGGGCCTGGGTCTTGGCAGTAGCCAATCGGGCCCCCTCCCGTGCCTCGGTGACGCGTCGAACAGTGCCTTGAATGTACTCGGGGAGAGGCTTAACAGGACCCTTCGCCCCCGTTCCCAGCTGTACGTCCACCGGCGGCACATTCTCGCGGCCGTACATTCGAAAAAATGGAGAATACCCTGTCGACGCATGAGGCGTCATCCGATACGCGGAGAGTACCTCAGGGATATGCAAATCCCAATCAGCTTGTTTCTCGTTAACCGTGTGACATAGCATGGCCGACAGCGTCCGATTAAGCCGTTCCACCATGCCATCCGTCTGCGGGTGGTAGGGAGACGTACGAACCTTCATGGTTCCCAGAGCAGCGCACACTTCCGCCAACAATTTAGAAGAAAAATTTCGCCCTTGATCCGTGAGCAGCCTTTCCAGCGCCCCTTTGTCCATTACATATCCAAACAGGAAGGCGTCCGTGATAGACGCCGCCGACTGGTCGGGTAAGGGCCAAGCCATCGGCCAGCGGGAAAGATATTCCACCCCGACCAGCAAAAATGTATTGCCCCTAGCGGATGGCGGGAAGGGTCCCAAAATATCCAACGCCACCAACTCGTTAATCTGAGACACCTGTATAGACACACTCGGGACACGCCCGAATGTGTCCGACGACATCCGTCGTCATGCCGTGCCAGAAGTAGTCTCGCTGCAACGTCAACAAGGTTTTCTGCACCCCGAGATGTAATAGAGTGTCGCAGTGCAGAGTCCGAATCAATTCGTACCGTAACGACGACGGTACTACCAGACGCCAGCGATCGTGCAACCCCTCCCTCCACATCAGCAACCCATCCCGGAGAGCGGCCCCCGGCGTCTCACCGGACAGCAGTCCCCCCGTTCCCTTCGCAGCCCGACTCTGTAAGGCCCCCAACGGGTCATCAAGCAACTTCTCGCGAATCCATACCGAGCGCGGCAGGTTCAGAACCCCATCGGCCGGTCCCGGGCATACGGGAGCCTCGGGCACCTCGACAGCTGACACAACAGGCCGAGGGGGTTGCTGAACCGGCGTACACCTATTCGTACCCGAAGCGCAAGCGCAAGGGGACCCCTGCGGCAACCTGGAGAGCGCGTCCGCGTTCGCGTGACGCGACCCCTTCCGGTAGTGAATTTCGAAGGAAAATTTCTGCAGGGTTTCCAACCATCGTGCCAGTTGGCCAGATGGTTGGTCAACTCTCAGGGCATATTGCAAAGCCGCATGGTCCGTGCGAACAATACACGACCGGCCGTATAGATACGGGCGATATTGGCGGAGAAAGTAGACAATAGCCAATAGTTCGCGGTGAGTAACGCATTAGCGGGTCTCTGCCGGAGACAGCACGCAGCTACCATAGGCTACCACGCGTTCCACGCCTCCCTTGGACTGTGACAGAACGGCCCCGATCCCGGTGTCACTAGCGTCCGTATCCAGAATAAAAGGGCGATCAAATTCCGGATAGTCCAATGTCGGCGCCGTCGCCAAACGATCACGTAGGCCTTCAAACGCCACTTCCTCCGGCGGTCCCCAACTGCGCCAACACCGCTTTCAGTGCCTCCAGTTGGGCCGCCACCTGTCGCCATCCTTCGTCGGCGTCCACTTGCGCGGATGGACCCACCGAATCGGCAACCTCCTGCACCCCCGGACCGTCGCTCGTCCCTGCGTCACTTCCCCCCTCCATCGTCGGTAGCGTCACCGCTGGAGGGAGGTCGTCTTCAGAAGATGCTGCAGAAGATGGTGCAGGGACGTTCTTTCTTCTGAGCTGTTTTGACATGCCGTTTCACTTCTGACACCAATGTAATAAAGGACTCTTTCACAGTGTCGATCTCCGTTGTCCTTTATTTGGGTTCGTGTAAATCTCACTTCCCACGGCGTCCTCGCTCAGGCCCGCGTCTCCTCCGTCGAGCTCTCCGCAGCCACACTGCTGCTCCGCTCTGCAGCCACACTGCTGCTCCGCTCTGCAGCTACACTGCTGCTCCGCTCCTCCTCGCTTACGGCCAGCCTTCCACAGCCCGCTAGCCCCCCTGCGCCCGGACACCGATGGCCGACGGTGCCGAGGTCTCCCAACACGTGGCGATCGCGCCACCCTCCCAGTACTGCCCAGCGTGGCCTCCTCCCGTTTCCACTGCATCTTCTCTCCCCGATCCCTTCCGGTTCTCTCCCTAAATCCTCTCCCCCACGTGACCCTAACTCCTCCCTCTCCTCACGTGACCCAGACTCGGCCCCCCTCAATCCTTGCTCGCATTACAGATGTATAAATATTTGTCATGGAAATGGTCCTTTACTCCGGTGAACAGAGATATATCTGTATGGGCAGTGCTCGACTTTCGAACGGGTTCCTTTCCTGAGATTCTTCATAAGTCAATTTGTTCGTACCTCAAAATGCAATTTTTTATTGTACGAATTGTACATTACATACGTAAAATATGTTATGGTTCAACAAAAAATAGGAGCATTGTTACATTCATAACTAAGAAGAAATTATGTACATTTCCATGTCATACCATAATAAAAGAGAATATAGTAAATTAAACAAAATGAAATAACATTAAAACACTTTTATTTTCACTTAGCTTGAGTCCTGATGTTGGCTTGCTTGCTGGAAGGGGTGTTTCTAGCATTCTGGGACTCATTACATCTTGCGGAGGATCGATTCGCTGAACAAAATAGTTCTGCGGTTCGGTTCATAAGTACGATCGAACGTTCGCAAGTCAGATGGTTAGAAAAAACAACATCTTGTGACATTTCATTCATAAGAGAGGATGTTCATAAGTTGGGGACTGCCTGTACAATATTTCCACAAATTAACAAATACAAGTAACAGTATTGTTGGCTTTGGGTTCACAGGACACAATAGTGGCGCTGCAGGCTCTGTCCGAGTTTGCCGTGTGGCAGTTTGGAAAAGTTTCTGGTTCACTAACTGTCTCTACCGCATTGCCGAGCGGCCCCATCACCGTGCAGCTGTCCGGCATGAATGCCACGGACAAGCGCATTGTGAAGGTACCACACCCTACCTACCATGGCTAGCACTTAGGATGCATTCAATAAATCTCAGGGATATACAGGAAGCTGCTCATGGTGAGTGACAGGAAGCTGCTCATGGTGAAAAGTGCACAAAGATGGAGAGGTGCTTGCTTGGAATTACACTGGGAGACAGGAAGAGGAACAAACAAATAGAAAACATATCTAAGGTAAATATGTAAATTTGACTGTTAAGAATAGTGGGCTTGGGCAGGATGAAGGATGATGGCTGAGACTAATAATGGAGTGGCAGGTAAGAAATAATGTCTCCCGTAGATATGGAGTGCTGAAATCAGCTTGTGTGCAGGAGTTGAATGGGTTAATAGATTACAAGAGCATGAGAGATTGTGATGATGTTGGTAACTTTTATCCAGCAGTGCAGAGACCATCGCTGATGATAGATTCCTGTGTTTTTAATGTCATTTCATTCCTTCTATTCCAACAGATTTCTACAAGCTCAAACTTAAATGTGACTCTGTCTGGAACTGGTAGTGGACAAGTTATTGCACAGGTATTGGCTGCCCCGAAATGTAATGATAAACAGCCATTCTCTCAAGGATCCAGCATACCACATGGGACTCTTAGTTTTTGCTCTGTGACCAGAATATATCATACTACATTTTAAGATAGAATTTGGGATAAATTAGGTTTGTATGGTGCCATTTTAGAGGCCCGTATAGTGGCTGAGTAAAGGATTAATTAAATCGTGTTATTCTGAAGTTACCATCTGGGATTGTCCCCTGCAAATAGTGTAATTGATGTAGGTAGTGTATTTATGACCTGGGACACTTCTTACTTGATTCCCAAAGTAGAATTTGATTATTATTCATGATGTATATATAAATATGAATGTATGTTTAGTTTTAAAAGCTGCATTCTAAAACATCCCCATTATGATAAGACACACATGTATCCACCCGATTCTTTTGTGATGAGCTGAGTCAATACCAGGTTACACTAGTGGGTGACTGAGTTTTTTTTATATAGACAAATATAATCTTTGTATAGATCGACTCAGTTAATGTCATGTAACACGGGGTCATTCGGGAGTGTGGTTTGGATGAAATTAAGAGTGTCGTGCTGATAAGTTTTGCCGTGCCTTCGCAGCTGAACGTGTTCTACAACGTGCGGGATTCCCCGGTGGTACGCAGAGCTCGCTCGGCGGCCCCCAGCCCAAGCTACGAGCTCGATGTGTACTTCGAAGACACCGGGGTTAACGGTTCCATCGGGGAGCAGGTGGTGCTGACAGCATGCACAAGGTATGGAGGAGGCTTGAGGGGTGTTAAAAAAACATCCGAATGAGCAGATTGGTCAAGTTTATTTTCACGGCAATCCAAATACAGATGGCTTTTAATTATCTGTGGCTGATTTTCTGAGATTTGATTTAACCGTGCTTCAGGGGTGACTGACTCATTGCCCATGCTACAGCCACGTGGTGATGGCACACGCCTGTAATCCAACACTGTGGATTACTTAAATGTAGTGAAATTCCTTCCCATGGTTTTTGAGGTACCATACCCTGGCTTGCCAGGAGGTGGTGCAGGAAATGGGGACTCCCATCTGTACCATTTGCAAAAGATAAATTGTTTCCAACTTGCACCATGTAGGTTTTCTCTGAGTGCTGCGGTTTCCCCTCACATGTAAAAACTCATTTATTGGCTGAAAACACTTTAATATATAGAAGACCACAGAGCTTGGACAATTGTTTATGCCAACTCACTGCCAGGCCTCTGTGATTCTTGTGGTTTTTCGTGAGTCGTTCTCGGTATTAGAGAGCTAAGTAAGTAGTTTATAAACGAGCAACTCTTAAAACCAAGGTTACCACAAGTGTGCAATATTCATACATTATAAGCTCTGTTAACCAACTCTGTCTTGCATTTTCTACTGAACCAGTTTAATGTCTGTGAAGTTAGAGAATGCTCTGCACATTACAATTTGAAAATAATTTAAATATTTCATTGTCCAAAAGTAAACCCAGACTGACTCATGCTACATTTTAACCTTCATTATATGTTGGTAAATTTACTTACGTTTGGCGTTATCTCCCATTGCACCTGATAATCGAGATGAACTATTTTGTACATGCACATGAGACAAAGACATCTTTTAGAGACTGTGTGCAGTGTTATTTTAATGTAGGTTGCTTGAAACGAGAAGGTGACTTAGTTCAGGTGAAGGTCGCTGTGGATAGGCTCCAGCCATGGCCATGTGTGCACCAACGTGTTGTCAGTTGTGCAAGTACCCAAAAGCATAGACATAACACTTTGTCGTGCTTTGATTTTGTGTCCACAGATGGATGGGCCAGGATGCCTCTGGCATGGCCCTCATGGAGACGAACCTGCTCAGTGGCTTCTTGGGTGATGAGAAAATCGCCCTAACTGACAACCTCAAGCTCGTGGAGACATCGCCAGGAAAAATCCACCTCTACTTTGTGAATGTACATGCTCTCTGCAGACTAGCCAATCACAGTAATGTGCGACCTGACATCTTATTGTGCCTGACCAATTTATTTGCATTTTTAAAGCAATAATTACAGTAAATGTTTTCTTTTCCCCTTTAGCTAAATGAGAATTCAACTTGTGTGAACATCACACAGTATAGAGTTGCACCAGTGGCAAAAACAATGGAAGCATTGGTTTCAATTAGTGACTACTATGAACCAAGTAAGTACAATCAATCTCTCAAAAACTTTACATTTGCTAAAACCTACCTTTAATTTGTCAGTATGATTTATCTTCACACTACTCATCACTGTGATCTTTAGTCAAGTTATCACACTCTTTCACCTTGAAGGGAAATTCATCGGACCAAATGTATCTTTAACACATACACACTCAGTCTCTTACCTATCCAAATAATTTATTCAGGATCAATATCCTCAATCGCAGACATTCCACAGCACGTAAGTGCATTGTTTTAAGGAAATAAAACTCATGGTTCTCACCCATTCTCTGTGAATGCCCTAAACGCCTGGAATTACATGCCTTCAAAAATGTCCTTGGTTAAAAATATGTTAGACTGTTGATTCTTTCTAAGTTAATTTAATAATGAATTGCATGAATAAATCGCCTTTTACAAGTTTATGAAGGTACTGTACATCATGATGAATATATACATAAATCATTGGCCATGGCAAGGAAAAACTAACAAGTACTTAAGTTTATTGTATTTTTACATATATCCTTATTTGTTTACGTATTATTACTACAGTAACCATACGCATGGTGAATGTAAATCAGTGTACTTCATTGCAAGGACATTGGGGGCCCCTGGTGGCCAACAATACACAACATGTGAAAACACCCCCCCATCGTTAAGTATTGCTGCATTTCTATAAAGTATGCTACAGTAAGACTTATACCCATATCCTAAGTAAACGTATATGATGCTTAACACTACATGTTGCTTAACACTACATCTATTGCACTTCCTTATTGCATCAGTACTGCTGAGAAAATGCAATTACTGTACGTTAAAATCTTGATTTGAAGCTTTCGTGACTGCAGGAATCCATACTCTTTGGTTCTTTCGGTAAAGTCACGTAGTTAAAATAAAATAAAACAAATCACGACATTTCGGGCGCAACACAAGCGTCCGTCATCAGGTGGGACAACCTGCCCCCTTTCTTACCTATATAACCTCTTGCCACGGCAGCTCTCTCGCCCACTTCAGCATTTTTTCTTGCTGTGGTTGTCCCGCCTGATGACGGACGCTTGTGTTGCACCGGAAAGGTCGTGATTTGTTTTATTTTATTTCTAACTACGTGACTTTACCGAAAGAACCAAAGAGTATGTACGTTAAAATTATAATATATATTTAATGACATCCTACCAATAATAAATCCTGCTAGAGTTTGGTGAATCATTGAAGGTATTATCTTTTAAATATGTTTTGGCAATCCATGAGTAAAATATATTCATAGTTCTGAGGTGTTACATTTTAGACTGAAACTTAAATGTATAATTACGTATTGAAATAGTTTTATACCACCATGCAATCAAAATGTCTATAATATACCTACAGTCCACGTAAATAAATGTTAACTACTGAAGTTATATTATTTAAAAAGTTTTCTTCCAACTGAGAGTGTGTTTGCCTCTCTGCCTCTTTCTTCACAATTAGGAACAAGAGTGGAGATGCAATACAAGTCCCTAAAGCTGTCTAATATAACCTTGCAGTCCTTCTGTGGTGAAACCTGCACGTTTCAAAGCAATGTACTTGCTGCTGCTATCAGCACTACTGCTGCCACCCAGACCACAGTGAAGGCAAGCGGCACTACTGCTGCCACCCAGACCACAGTAAAGGCTAGCGGAATTATGTCAGGTAGTGGTATGAACCCTTTACTGTGGTTCCTGATGCCTGCTGCCTTCTGCCTGTCCTGGATGTGGCTCTGAAGAATAATCCTCTATGACTGGGGGGCCTTGAAAGCACTCGCTCACAGCTATGTTATTTGTATCAACTTCACAACGTAGTGTGTGCCTTCTAATCAAATAGAAAACTACGTAATAAAACATAAAACAAATCATATGATACTTTGTAAGTGGTATGTTTCAGTTGCTAATGTATGTGTAGCCAAAGATGGCTGAGCAGGGGGTTAGGAATAGCATTGTTTTGGAATACTGTTATTGGTGGTGGTTGTCAACTCACATTTGACATTTTTCAGCATATAACATGAGCACTCCTTTAAACTAACATATATAATCATGATGTTTTATAGCATTACACTCCACTAATATATGAAGGAGAAATGCAAGTTAATAAACATGCACCATATGGGCCTGCACTGATTAAAAATATCAAAACCTGAATCACTTTGTTCAACAATGATGGGATACGATTACAATATTTGCATTCTCTTTCTGTAAGGGCACACATTTCCCAGTACTTTTTAATTTGTTGGAATTGTTGCTTTTGTGTTTATATCTGTCAGTGCCATAAACATTCCTTTCAGAGCAGGTCTTTGTTTAGGGAAGTATGTGCACAAGATTGATAACGAGTTATTGAAATCAAGAAATAATAAACATGATGAATTGTGAATAAAATTGATTGAGTGTATGTGGTATGTTTCAATGTTTATTTCTGTGCCATGGCGATGTGCACCGTTATGTTCACCTTTAGGCTCGCTACTTCCAAACTTGTGTGCATTTAGAAGAGACAGAAGAATGGCTCGAGTTAAAAGCAGGTATTCAATAATGGCTGGAGTCATTTCCAATGTCCACTATCTTCACGAACCCACCCTGCCCAGCGTGGTGAAGTATGGTCATATATCTTGCCCCAATGGTAGTGCAGCCTTAAACTTGGTCTTCAGTCACTTGCAACTCTGGTGCATGATGACAGCAGGGTTTTTATAGGTGTAGGTAATGTTATTAACCTTTGGGTAACAACACAGCACCTCGATTTTACAATTTTTACATATAATGTGCATACTTTTATCTAAAGAATCAAATCTTGCTTCATGGGAAACAATTTAAATAAACTGGGTGAGACGTAATTGATATCAGCAAGTGAAGAACCCCATACCTCTCTGTACTCACTGTACTATGCTAATCTGCAAAATGTTATTTCCAAAATTAGGATAAAAATTACTGAATTTATTACGATGCTTTGTGCTAACAATTGGGCCGTGACGTTTTGACGAGAAATGTAACTGAATGCCAATATCTCGATCTCTCTCCATTAACAACATGTTAGGTATCCAAATGCAAAACAAGACAAAGTGGCACATGCCAGGATGCTAACCAAAGCCAACAATGGCTTCTTCCTGAAGAATATATTTCAAAGGAGCTCCTCTGGCCTTCCACCAGATTTCCATTCAAAATTAGTTGCTAATTGAGATATATTCTTTGGGTCTTTCGATAAAGTCGTGTAGATATGTTCAAAGAAAATAACAAAAAACTACGACATTTCGATCACAAAACAAGCGTTCGTCATCAGGAAGTGGGGGTTAGCTTTTAAAGGGTTAGCTTCTAAACGTAAACTGTTGATAAAGGTTTGAAATGGGCGTAGCCAAAATGTCAGCAGCCAATGTTAATGTAAGTGGTGGGCAGCGACTGGGATGGTGGTGGGTTTTCACACTAATCAAAGGGCTGCCCGGTAAAAATGAGCATGATCATGTCAGATCGTTCAGCAGCTTCAACGGCGGACGTCCTGAGTTGGCTATGTTCATGTGAGATATTAGCCAGTGGGTTTGCAAAGTACCTTCATCTTAGATAAATTCCGTATACAGTATTCTAAATTGCTATTTTAAATCTAGAAAAGGATTCAAAAGCAAGCTATTCACTTTGTTAAAGTAACAATTGTCAAGCAAGCAAATTGTGGACCAGTTCATCAGTGTGCTCATTCGCAGAGTTAGTCTTGAATGAACTATTGCTGGTCAACTTCCAGATGTTTATTACTGTTAGGTATGGGTCCGAGTTTGTTGCAGAAATACAGCAATACTTCGATATACGAAGTAGATGCATTCCTGGAGCCGCATTCATCTATTGAAACTTCCTATATTGAATACGACTAGAATGAGCTAAGAATGTGTGTGTGTTCCCCGCGTGACGTCACTCCACATGATGCCCACCCCCCGCGTAACATCACTCCATATGAGCCCCCCCCCCTCATTAACATTAATTAATGGGTGGATTTTTGCACTAAAGCAGAGGAAGATCGTGCTAAATTAAATAATTTATTACACAAAGTCGCTTCAAATATGACGTTGAAACAGACAGCACTGGTCGATTCAAATCTTCAGAGGCATTTTGCCGAGAAAATCAGTCCCCGGCAAGCACAGAACAGCCAAGGCCGTGGAAACCAAAACATGGCCCGACAATGTGACATCGACAATGCGCAATGCAACAGTTATCTGACCGATTATCCCCAATGATCCACCATTGGCGGCGAAATGGAGCATCCACAAGCTCCAAAACCCGACACCGGGAGGGCAAAATCTTATACATGAGGTCAGAAATAATGGTTGAAGACACGCTGGTGTCAACTAGCATGCAAATTTCAACCCTCTCAATGAACCCAAGCACAGCCAATGACTCCACGGCCGCCGCAACCACTCGATGTGCTAACTTTGTCCACTGATCCGGTCGGAGCGGCCGCGTGTCGCGAACACGCACCGACTCCCCCAAAAATGCGCGTGACCCCGACACAAATCGGACCTCCCCGATGGGTGAAGTGAACCCCGAGGCCGAGTATGAGGTATGCCGCGACTCGCCTTAGGAAGCAGTGAGTCGTAGGAAGGCGTACGTACCGGGGGCCGCCGTCGAGGAACCTGGCAGCCCGATTGGACATGCCCCGGCAGGCCACAGTTGTAGCAGGTGACCCGTCCACTGCTGGATTGGGATGATGCAGACCTCGCCCGCCGCCGGTCGTCCCGCCGCGGATTGCCGTCACCCCGATGATTGCCACTCCACTGGTGCAGCGAGCATGCAGGAGCAGGCTCCTCGTCCGCGTGGGCCCCGGGCTCCGCAGAAGATGCAGAGCACGCCACCAAAACCCTGTCATGTTGCAGGGTCTGCTGCGCCTGTATGCACGTGGCGATCTTTAGCGAAGACACCTCTCCATCCTCGGCGGGGAGCACAGTATGGAGGTCTTTGGCGAGTCCCAACATCTTCTCGAGGACCAAGGCGTTAAGGCCGTCGTGGTCCATTTTTGGGAACGCGGCCTTTGCCAGCACCAAGAGCGCACTTCGGTAGGTGAGAGCCGACTCACCATCCCCTTTTCATCTCATGGCGAACTTCTCATGGGTGTTCAGCGGAGGCTCGAAAATAGCGGCCAAGTGGTCAAACGCCTGCATGAGGGTGGACATCTCGGATGGCAGAATGGCGAGGAACGCCGCCAAGGCGTCATCGTCGAGGGCGGCCGAAGTCGACATTGGTGAGAAATCGCTGCTTAAATGCTACTCAGTCACCGCTGGCGGCAACAAATTATTTAATGAAGGGCAGTCGATGGTGGAGCAACTAGATATCAATCCACAAGGACGTCCCCGCTTCAAGCTTGGCAGGCTCAGCGCTGCCCGCCGGCAGCAAAATGGCACCCGCGAGCACGGGCAGCGGCGATGGCATTCCCGCCTTTTGTGAAATGGCAGCCAAGTCGCCCCATCGAGGGCAGGGACCGCATCTCGACGAGGATCGAGGACGCCGCTTGAAGGAGATCAGCGGGACGGCTGTGCGCGTCCCTGATGAGCGCCTCCAATGAAGGCGAGGTGCCGCTCGTCCTGACTGCGCTCTGTTCCGCCGACAGCGCCTCCGCTCCTTCCTCGGCGGCCGTTGGCAGAATCAGCTCCTCGTCATCTTCATCGTCCGACACCCATAAACGAACTCTGTGACGTGTAGACATGACGTGTTTACTGCTAGCTACAGCTTTGCAAGTTGGCCACTACTGACACCAGTTGTAGTGAGTCCAACTGAGTCGCAGACGTTGTCTTGGGAGCAACACTATTTATTTTACCAACTCAACATAACATAACACAACCTACACTTGGGTGTTGAATGCCCATTTAGCCACGCTACGGCAGAACTAGACCTGGTTCGCTATCCCGGCACGGACCACAGGCTGGGTCCCAGACTGTTTGGCTAGAGATCTTCTTTAACCCGACGTGGATCTTCTTCACCAGCAACTGAAGAACCCAGAGCCCCTCACGGGGCCCCCATTATTTTGGCCTGGGCTGGGGCTGGCTCCGCCCCTCGCCCTGCCCACCTTCTAGATCTCTCGAGCTCTTTCCCGAAGGCTCCCGAGAGCTCTTTTATACCACATGACCGCCCAGCGGCTCCCGTCCACCAGTGGCCCCTATCCAATATCATTCGGTCAGGTGTCGGCAGGTCAACCAGCGTATCATGCCCCAATGTAACTCTCCCTCTCGCTCCCTCACCGAGAGCCCACACCGCACACTGTACATGGTGCCTCCACGCTAACCAGCGCTCACCCAAGCCCCGCTAGGTCTGGTACTACGTCTAGTAAGTGGGCCACACATAATGCCAACACATTATCTGCCGTGGATTCGTAAGCCAGGCACCACACAGTGACATTTCACAGTCACTACACAAATATATCAAATAAATACAAATATGTCAAATTCATGAAGCATCCATATATACAAACAGACATAACTTCAACCGTAATGATGGATTCAAATTGAGCAATCATTGGAAAGATGTAATTAACCAAGTCAAACTTTAGCTACCAGGCAGTTTACTGCTAGACAGCCGGTTTAGATTTATTTTCATAAACATACCCATATTCACGGCCTGTTACCCCTAGTTTCACACACTACCATTGCATTGCATGGTAGTGTGTACCACAAGTTGTTTTTTAGCTTGCACATTTCAGTTTGAACTCCATACGTTGTTAGTCTGCGCATTTCGAATTTACCCACCCGGCAGCATAACAAAATGCGGCTTAATCCTAGCTTGCTTCTCTACTTCCGCCATCTGCATCACAGCCTCAGTTTCGGCCCCATTCGTTGCCTCCCAGCGCACCCTCGGCTTCCTAACTTTACCTCCCAGCCCACACCCCGCCCCCACACTCACCATGCCCCCCCCCCCTCCTTCCATGCCCCGCGACTATATAATCCCTCGTCACAGCCATCTCTGAGACACACTTAAGCGTGTGTGCTTTCGCTACGTTGTCCCCACCTGAAGAAGGACGCTTGTGTTGCGCCCGAAACGTCGTGATTTAATTTAGTTGTTTTCATTTATTTGTGACTTTGCCGAAAAAACCAAAGAGTATCATGCAAATATATTAAATTAATGCAAGTTCCCTGAGTCTTGGCACTCGAATTGTGTTCTAATGCAGTGGTTCTCAACCGGGAGTACGCGGACCCCTGGGGGTACGTGGCAATGTCCCAGGGATTCCGTGAGGTGATTTATAAATGTGTGAAATTATATCAAACGTGAATGTAATTGGTGAATAATCTCGCATGAATCTGCCAATATAAAATAACTACGATAAAATTCAAATACATATGGGAACCTAGAACGATATAAAATACCTTTTCAAACTCATTGATTTTAAACAATATGGTTTATTTGAGTAACCGGCAAGTGCGGACAAATTACGTC